GTCTCAGGTGGATATTCTGGGAACTACCGTGATGCATACATACTTGCGAATACACAGTTCCCTGCTTCCTTTCAGGGTCACGGGAACATACAGAGAGATGGTTTCTGGCAGACAAGGGGTATCCCCTCCAATCATGGCTGATGGCATGTTTACAAAACTGATGTCGAATGAAAATACAGCATTGCCCATGATTCTACCATAGTGGAACAGGCCATAGGCCTCCTTCAGATGAGGTCTTGATTCCTGGATCATTCCAGCAGGATCTTCCAGTATAGCCCAGAGATGGTGCGTGTGCCATTGTAGCAAGCTGTACCCTTCACAACCAGAACCAACAAAAAGTTGGAGGTCTGTGAGAGTAGTCACACTGAGTCTTGAATCTTGTTGGAAAAACATACCTACTCAAAACAAAAAAATTCAGCCCCATATTAAGAAGGACAGTATACTGGATATTTTCCACCAGTTTGAAAATGTACATTGAAATTGGCTAAATTTATACTTAATACTAGTATTTTAGCTGGCTGCTATCACAGTTTGTGCTTGTGCTTCAATTATTTTTTCAACGATGTGTTGCTGCCACTCTTAAATTGACTGATTTGCCTTTTGAATGATTTCGGTATTCACATCCAATATATGCTGTGCTGAAATGTGCACCATGCAGTATTTATTGTTTCTTGCCAAAGTACAATTGTTATCATTCCTATTTTCTTGGAAAATCTAAACGTGAATGTTAAACATCAGCTCTTGGCCCAGTTTGGTTATTTAGATTCATGGTGATTTAATCCAGCTGTTTAAGTAAGATTCTCCTGCAAAAAATGGACTATAGCACAAGCAAAGATTTTATAAAAAATCTGACAACTTGGAACAGTGGTTAAATGCATTGTGTAATGTAGTATTGATTATTATGAATGATGGACCATCCCAAACTTTTGAATAGTGTTTGTGCTGTTACTTAATGTTAACAAAGAATGCATGATTATGATTTTTCACAATTCTCTGGAAATTAAATGGCCTGCATAGTTTGTAAATGTAATACATCTATTCAAGAAAGGATGGGGAGAAAAAAAGTGACAGGAACAAAAGACCACTTAACCTATTGTCAGCAAAATGCTGGAGTCCATTATCAAGGAAATCTTAATACAATGCAAAGCAATACAATACGATACAGCACAGGAACAGGCCCACCAAGTCTGCGCCGATTCTAATCCTTAGTTAGACCCGCTACTTATTGCCCATACACATTTTCCATCCCTCTGTTCGCCTCCCATTCATGTGTCTATCAAGATACATTTAAATGTTGCTAATGTGCCTGCATCCATCACCCCTACTGGCAGTGCATTCCAGGCATCCATCACCCTCTGTGTGAAAGATTTTTTCCCATACTTGTCCCCTAAATGTGCCCCCTCTCACCTTGAACTTTTGCCCTCTTACAGTTGACCTTTTCACCCTAGGAGAAAGCCTCTGACTGTCCACCCTATCTATGCCTCTCATAATTTTGTAGAACTCTATCAGGTTGCTCATCAGCCTCTGTTTTTCCAGTGAAAACAATCTGAGTTTATCCAATACAGTGTGGAGATGGAGGAGCACAGCAGGTCAGACAGCATCAGAGGAGCAAGAAAATCAACGTTTCAGGTTGGGACCTTTCATCAGGACTGAAATAAACTGAAAGAGTTTATCCAACCTCTTGTCATAACTAAAACCCTCCAGACCGGGCAACATCCTGGTAAATCTGGTGTAGAGCTGGATGAACACAGCAGGCCAAGCAGCATCAGAGGAGCAGGAAAGCTGACGTTTCGGGTCTAGACCCTTCTTCAGAAATGGGGGAGGCGAAGGGGATTCTGAAATAAATAGGGAGAGAGGGGGAGGCGGATAGAAGATGGATAAAGAAAAAGATAGATGGAGAGGAGACAGACAGGTCAAAGAGGTGGGGTTGGAGCCAGTAAAGGTGAGTGTAGATGGGGAGTTAGGGAGGGGATAGGTCAGCCCAGGGAGGACGGATGAGGCTAGTAGGTAGGATATGGGGGTGGGGCTTGAGGTGGAAGGAGTGGACGGACAGGTTAGGGAGGCGGGGACGAGCTGGGTTGGTTTTGGGATGCGGTTGGGTGAGGGGAGATTTTGAAGCTTGTGAAGTCCACGTTAATACCATTGGGCTGCAGGGTTCCCAAGCTAAATATGAGATCCTGTTCTTGCAACCTTCACGTGGCATCGTTGTGGCACTGCAGGAGGCCCAGGATGGACATGTCATCCAAGGAGTAGGAGGGGGAGTTGAAATGGTTCGTGACTGGGAGGTGCAGTCGTTTGTCGTGAACCGAGCGTAGGTGTTCCACAAAGCAGTCCCCAAGCCTCTGCTTGGTTTCCCCGATGTAGAGGAGGCCACAACGGGTACAGCAGATACAGTATACCACATTAGCTGATGTGCAGGTGAACATCTGTTTGATGTGGAAAGTCTTCTTGGGGCCTGGGATGGGGGCGAGGGGAGAGGTGTAGGGGCAGGTGTAGCACTTCCTGCGGTTGCAGGGAAAGGTGCCGGGGATGGTGGGGCTGTTGGGGAGTGTGCAGCAGACAAGGGAGTCACGGAGAGAGTGATCCCTCCAGAAAGCAGATAAGGGTAGGGAGGGAAAGATGTCTTTGGTGGTGGGGTCAGATTGCAGATGGCGGAAGTGCCGGAGGATGATGCGTTGGATCCGGAGGTTGGTGGAGTGGTACGTGAGGACGAGGGGGATTCTGTTTTAGTTGTTATTGCGGGGAGGGGTTGTGAGGGATGAGTTGCAGGAAATGCGAGAGACATGTCCTCATTTTTCAAGGGCCGCAACTTCCCTTCCACAGTGGTCAAAAACGCCCTTGACCGTGTCTCTCGCATTTCCTGCAACTCATCCCTCACACCCCCTCCCCGCAACAACAACCAAAACAGAATCCCCCTCGTCCTCACGTGCCATCCCACCAACCTCCGG